TTCTTCTCTCTTTCTCTCTTTCTTCTCTCTTTCTTTCTCTCTTTTTTCCTCTCTTTCTTTTTCTCAGATTATATTTTGATGTATTATACTATACGATACTACACAATATTTTCTTATATCATAAAGTATCATAAATTTACAGCCAATTTATCTTTAAAAATATATATAATAATTATGATAACGACCCCACGGACTCGCCTCTACCTGCTATCGAATTAATTTCACTCAAAATTCATGGTCCTTCTCTGCCTCCAGGGCCCTCCAGGCGAGAGTGTAGCTGGCCCACCCGGCCCACCCGGCCCACCCGGCCCACCTGGCCCACCCGGCCCACCTTCGTACATGAACCCGAGCTTGAATATGCCCGATTTCGGTTCCGGTGCCGGAGAGGACTTCATTGTGAGTAGAGGGCGGGGGAGGGAGGGAGGAGGAGGGGGAAGGAGGGAAGGAGGAGGGAAGGAAGGAGGGAGGAAGGGAGGGAGGAAGGAGGAAGGAGGAAGGAAGGGGGGAGGAAGGAGGAGGGAAGGAGGGAAGGGGGAGGAGGGAGAGGGGAAGGAAGGAGGGAGGGAGGGAGGGAAGGAGGGAGGGGAGGGAGGAGGGAGGAGGAGGGAGGAAGGAGTAAAAGAGGGTGTAATATGTAGTGGGAGGAGAGCGTCCACCCACTACTATTACAGGAGTGGGTGGGACGCTCTCCTCCCACTACAGAGGGAGTGAGGAGGGAGGGGGTGAAGAGGGAGGAGGGAGAGGAGGAAGTAAGGGAGGGAGAGAGGGAAGTAAGGGAGGGAGAGGAGGAAGTAAGGGAGGGAGGAGGGAGGAGGGAAGTAAGTGAGAGAGAGAGGGAGAAAGGGACGGAAAAGAGTGAAAGAGGGAAGGAGAAGTGAAGGAAGGAGAGAGGGAAGTATAAGAGGGAAGGAATGAAGGAGGGAGGGAGGGAGTAATTATAGATGACTAAATGAGAGAGGGAGAGACGGAGGGAGTGAGTGAGTGAAGGAGTATAGGAGTATAGTCGAGAGGAGTGAAGGAGGGATAGAGTAAAGGAGGGAAGGAATAAGTGAATGAGAGAGGGAGGAGAAGAGGGAGGGAGGAAGAGAGTGGGAAATTGAGGGAAGGAGGAAGGGAAGGAGCGAATGTATGTATGTATGTGTGTGTGTGTCTGTCATTTAAATACATGTGTGGAATGGGAGAGAGTGAGTGTGTATGTGAGGAGGAGTGAATGTGTACATGTGTGTGTGTTTATGTATGTAAAGTGTATCACAACGAATCAAATCTCTATACAGGCAATGTTAGATTAAAACCGAATAGAAAACATAATTATAGGAACAAAGATACTAAATCCTATTTCATATTAATGCTTCGTTTCTCTCCCTTCCACCACCGCCCATTCCCGCCCCCCACCGCCCATCCGCTACCCATCTCTACCGCCCACCCGTCGATCATCTCTGTCCGCCCACCCGCCCACCCACCGCCTACCGCCCATTCGTCACCCATCCTTACCACGGACCTTCCATTCGCCGCCCACCGTAACGCCCACTCCCACCTACCCTCACCTACGGCCCACCGCCCCATTCAACGCCCATCCCCACCTACGCCCATCCGCCCCCCATCCTTACCCGCCCACCGCCCACTCCCACCTACGCCCACCGCCCATTCACGCCCATCCCCACCTACGCCCACCGCCCCCTCCACCCCCACCTACGCCCACCACCCCCCCCACCCACCCCCACCTACGCCCACCACCCACCCCCTACGCCCACCACCACCACCACCCACCCCCAACCTACGCCCACCACCCATTCACACCCACCCCCCACCTACGCCCATCCCCACCCACCCCCACCGCCACCCCCACTCCCGCCGCCCAGCCCGAGATGGAATTCAGCGGGAGTCGCCGAGGGCCGCCCACGCCGCCCGGACAGTGTGTGTGTAACGAGACATCTCTCGTGGCTTCAATCCTGGCACAGGTACTTCCTCTTCTTATCTAAATCTTATCTTTTTTTTTATCTTTTATCATCGTTATCGTAATCGTGTCTTTTTGATCATTTATCAGTTTCGTTGTTGTTTTTTTTTTTTTTTTTTTTAGATCGTTATCGTGTTAACATTATTATTACCATTATTATTATCGTTATCAGTATTAATGTTATCATTATTATTAGCATCATCAATATCATTATCATTATCGTTTTTTTCATTTTCATTTCATTATTATCATTATTATTATCATTATCATCATCGTCAGCATCATTATCATTGTCATCATCATTGTTATTGTCGTCATCGTCATCATCACTCATTATTATCACAAATTCATAATTTTATTTCTTTCCTCTATGATTATCTTTTCGATATATGTAAATCACTTTAAAATTCTTTTTCTTCAAGAATTCAAAATTTTTAAAGAAGAAATTTGAGTAATTTGTCCACATTCAATTATAAATCCAGTTCGTATGATATATTTTTGTAAAAAAAACTCTACAACATTTTCTTTAATTCCTTTTTAACGGATTAATCACCAATAAATACTTATCAGAATTTAAGATTATCATAATAATAGTTCCAATCATGACAAATCAAAACAGCTTGATTATATTCAGAATTCCAATCAACATAGATTATCATAGCCTCATAGATTCCGAAACGAGAGATTAGATTCAAATCATCCTGGAGTAAAACAGATTAATTATTTTTTTTCGTTTGACAGTTTAAAATCATTGCAATTTTTATTTCCAGATTTCTTATCATTATAGATAAGGTTTTCGCAAATGTTCCCAAATTCCATTTATTACGAAAGGAGCATTTTTCAACATTTTAATCAAAAGTCTAAATGAATACAGATGAATTCAGTTGATCACCATTATTAAAAAACTCGAATCCCGGTAGTCAGTGAACTTTTTCATCACACTTATGGAAAATTGTTCACAGTTAATCTCACATTCATCACTATCTCTTAAAATTCAGAAGATTAGCACAGATTAAATGTAAAAAAAAAAAAAAATTGATTCATCACATATCATCACACTGTCTATGTTCATTACTACATGTTCAAAAGCTGATAAATGTGTTCAAGTCGCAAAGTTATATCACAAGCTCATCATATGTTTCAAAAGTCTTGATTACATGTTCAATATCAAAAGTTTGTTACCTGTTCAAAATAAAACAATTTATTGCATGTCCAAAATATTTCCAATGTATGACCTGTTCAAAAAATCACAAGCTAATCACGTGTTCAAACCCTTATTACATGTTCAAAATCACAGACTTCTCACGTGTTCAAGAGAATAACAACCTTATTACCTTTTCAAAATCATAAGTCTGCCACCATTTCAAAAATCACAAACTTCCCACGTGTTCAGAATCACAACCTTCCCACTGTTTCAGAATCACAACCTTATTACCAGGTCAGAGTCATAAATCTGACACCAGTTCAAAAAAAAACAACCTTTCTACGTGTTTCAGAATAACATCCTTCCCACGTGTTCAGAATCACAAGCTTATTACCTGTTCAAAAAATCACAAACTTCCCACGTGTTCAGAATCACAAAATCCCCACGTGTTCAGAATCACAAAATCCCCACGTGTTCAGAATCACAACCTCGGTTACCTGCTTCAAAAATCACAACCTTTCCACGTGTTCACAACCTTTTGACCTGTTCAAAAATCACAACCATCCCCGTGTTCAGAATAAAAAAATCCCCACGTGTTCAAATTCAAAAAAAATCCCCACGTGTTCAAATTCAAAAAAAATCCCCACGTGTTCAAAAATCACAAAATCCCCACGTGTTCAAAATCACAACTCTATTACCTGTTCAAAAATCACAACCTTTCCACGTGTTCACAACCTTATGACATGTTCAAAATCACAACCTTCCCACGTGTTCAGAATCACAAAATTCCCACGTGTTCAAAATAAAAAAATTCCCACGTGTTCAGAATCACAAAATCCCCACGTGTTCAAAAATAAAAAAATCCCCACGTGTTCAAATTAAAAAAAATCCCCACGTGTTCATATTCAAAAAATCCCCACGCGTTCAAAAATCCCAAAATCTGCCTCCATTTCAAAAACCCCACAAACCATCCCACCTAATCAAACCTCCCCCCCCCCTTCCCCCTCCCCCCTCCCCAGATCCCCCGCGGCCCCCCCGGCGAGGACGGCAAAGGCGGGGCGGGACGGGATGCCGGGGATCCCTGGCACCTCCGGCCGCCCTGGGCCCCCCGGGGAGGGGCCCCCGGGGAAGCCAGGGCGAGAAGGGCGACCGGGGCGAGAGAGGCAACCCAGGTGAGATTTTTTTTTTTTTTTTTTTTATTATTATTGTTGTTGTTTGTTATTAGTATGTCTATCTATATATTTATTCATTTATTTGTTTGTTTGTTTTTTTTTCACTTTTTTGTTTATTATTTATCTATTTTTTATCTTATTTATTTATATATTTATTTATGTTATTTTATTCATTTATTTTTCATTGTTATTTCTGTTTCTTATAGTGGATTTTTTTTTATTTTTTAGGACGTTTTTTGTTATCATTATTCCTTATTAGTATTGTATCTTTTTTAGTTTGTTTCTTTTAGTGGGATTTGTGGAGTTTATTTTTTAGGATATTTTGGGATATGTTAGGATGTCTTAGGATGTTTTAGGATACCGTAGAATGTTTTAGGATGTTTCTAGGATATTTTAGGATGTTCTAGGATATTTTAGGATGTTCTAGGATATTTTAGGATGTTCTGGATATTTTAGGATGTTCTAGGATATAGATTTTAGGATTTTTCTTAGGAATATTTTACTTAGGATGTTCTAGGATATTTTAGGATATTTTAGGATGTTCTAGGATATTTCTAGGATATGTTTTTAGGATATTTCTAGGATATTTTAGGATATTTTAGGATGTTCTAGGATATTTTAGGATGGATATTTAGGATAGGATGTTTTAGGATATTCTAGGATGTTCTAGGATATTTTAGGATATTTTAGGATGTTCTAGGATATTTTAGGATATTTTAGGATATTTAGGATGTTCTAGGATATTTTAGGAATTTATTTCTAGGATATTTTAGGATGTTCTAAGGATATTTTAGGATGTTCTAGGATATTTTTAGGATGTTCTAGGGATATTAGGATATTTCTAGGATATTTTAGGATATTTTAGGATATTCTAGGATATTTAGGATATTTAGGATGTTCTAGGATATCTAGGATATTTTAGGATATTTAGATGTTCTAGGATATTTTTGGGATATTTTAGGATGTTTAGGATTAAGGATTTTTAGGATATTTTAGGATATTTTAGGATGTTCTAGGATATTTTTTTTAGGAAGGATATTTTAGGATATTTTAGGAGTTCTAGGATATTTTTAGGATGTTCTAGGATATTTTAGGATATTTAGGTATGTTCTAGGATATATTTTAGGATATTTTTAGGATGTTCTAGGATATTTAGGATAGGATATTTTTAGACTAGAATTTAGGATATTTTCTAGGATATTTTAGGATATTCTAGGATGTTCTAGGATATTTTAGGATATTTTAGGATGTTCTAGGATATTTTAGGATGTTCTAGGATATTTTGGATATTCACATTTTAGGATATTAGGATATTTTAGGATATTTTTAGGATGTTCTAGGATATTTAGGATGTTCTAGGATATTTCTAGGATATATTTTAGGATATTCTAGGATATATATTTTTAGGATGTTCTAGATGCTAGGATGGATATCTAGGATATTTTAGGATTTTCTAGGATATTATTTTTAGGATATTTTAGGATATTTTAGGATTTCTAGGATATTTTAGGATAGGAGGATAAGGATGTTCTAGGATATTTTAGGATGTTCTAGGATATTTTAGGATGTTCTAGGATATTTTAGGATGTTCTAGGATATTTAGGATGTCTAGGATATTTTAGGATATTTTTTTAGGATATTTTTAGGATGTTCTAGGATATTTAGGATATTCTTTTAGGATATTTTAGGATGTTCTAGGATATTTTAGGATATTCTAGGATATTTTAGGATATTCTAGGATATTTTTGGATATTTTAGGATATTCTAGATGTTCAGGATATTTTAGGATTTCCTAGGATATTTTAGGGATATTTTAGGATATTTTAGGATGTTCTAGGATATTCTAGGATAATTTTAGGATATTGTTGGATATTTTAGGATATTTAGGATATTTTAGGATATTTTTAGGATGTTATATTTTAGGATGTTCTAGGGATATTTAGGATGTTTCTAGGATATTTAGGATATTTTGTTATTTAGGATATTTTAGGATATTCTAGGATATTTTGGATATTTTAGGATATTCTAGGATATTTTAGGATGTTCTAGATATTTTAGGATGTTCTAGGATATTTTAGGATATTCTAGGATTTTGGATGTTCTCCCTACGAATACTTTTAGATAATTCTAGGGAATTTTAGACATTTTAAGATATTTTTGGATGTTCTAAGATATTTTAGAATCTTTAGGACCATTATTAAAGGATCATTTTAGGAATTCTAGGAATTTAGCGAATTTTAGATGTTCTAGAAAATTTTAGGATGTTAAGATATTTAAAGGATGTTCAAGATATTTTGGGTAATCTCTTAAGATTGTTCTAGGATATTTTTTAGGATGTCTTTCTAGGATACTTCTTAGGATGTTCCCTGTTCTGGATATTTCAGGATGTTCTAGGATATCTAGGATATTCTTGGGATATTTTTTGGATATTTTTGGAATATTTTAAGGAATGTTCTAGGATATTTTTAGGTCATTGCGAGGATATTAAAGGAATTCTACTAGGATATTTTAGGATATTTTAAGATATGTATATTTTAGTTTTAGTTATTTTAGGACATGAATATTCTATTGGTGGTATCTATTATTCATATTCAATATATATTCTTAATCTTATTCTTATTCTTCTCTTTCTCGTTCTTCCTTCCCAGATCCGCATTCCCTTGTCCTTCATCGTCCTCCCTTCCCCTTTCCCCGTTATTCATCATCTTCGTTTCCTCTCTTTTGCTATTAACCCCCTACCCTTCCACTACCCCCCCCCCAACTTCATTACGCAATCATGCCTATTTGTCGTTTTATCCTTCTCTCTTCCCTTCCCCTCTCCCCTCCCCCCTCTCCCTCCCTCTCCCTTGTTCACACCTATCCGTCTCCCTGACTCTCCCGTCGATCTATTTTTTTTCTTTCTCCCTTTCCTCTCCTTCCTCCTCTCACCCGAACTTCTTTCTCTCTTATTCCATCTCTCTTCCTCTCTCTCCTCACTCCTTCCTCTCCCATTCCCCTCTCTTCCTTCATTCTCCCTTTCTCCCTCCCTCTTTCCTCCCCCATCCTTCTCCTCCCCTCCTCCCTTCACCACTATTCCCTTCTTCCTACCCCTCTTCTCCTCCTTCCTTCTCCCTTCCTCCTTTCCCCCTACACCTCCCCTTCCCTCTTCCCTTTCTCCTACTCATGTCACCCTCTCACCCATGACCCTTTGGTACCCTCCCTCTTCCCCCTTCACTACCCCTCCTCCCCTTCCGTACTCATCTCTCCCCCTCCCTCTCCCTCTCCCTCGCCTCCCCCTCTCCCTTAACCATCTCACCCCTCCCCTCCCCGTTCTCCTTCTCCCTCTCCCCCTTCCCTCTCCCTCCCCCTCCCCTACCACCCCTCCTCCCTCCTCCCTCTCCCTCACCCCACTCCCTCTCCCTTCCCCTCTCCCCTCCCTCCCTCCCTACCCCTCCCTCCTCACCCTTTCCCTCCCTACCCCCCTCCCCCCCTCCTCTCCCTCTCACCTCCCCACACTTCTTCCCCCTCCCCACTCCCTACCCCCTTCCCTCCCTCTCCCTTCCCCCCCTTCCTCTCCCTCCCCACACTTCTCCCCCTTTCCCCCACCCCTTCTCCCCCCCCCCCCCACAGGACCCGAGGGCCTCCAGGGCGAGAAGGGCGAGTCGGGCACTGACGGCGCTCCGGGGATGCCAGGCGAGAGAGGCCCCAGGGACCCCCGGGAAGCAGGCTGGGGCAACTCCAGATATGACGTAAGGAGAGCTGCTTCTTGGTTTTGTTTATTTGTTTGTTTGTGTGTGTTTGTTTGTGGTTAACATGTTTTTTTGTTATTGTTTATTTTTTTTAGTTTTTTTTTTTTTTTTTTTTACAATTTTTCATGTTTTTTCTGTTAAATTTTAGTTTTTTTTGCTTGTGTTTATATATATATATATATATATATTATATATATATATATATATATATATATATATATAATATATATATGTATATTTAGTTTTCTTTTGATTCTTCTTAGTCTTATTCTCATTCTTATCTTTGTACTCTTCCATTTTTCTCTTTCTCTCCTTCCCTTTCCTCTCTCCCACTTACTTCTTTCTTCTCTTCCTTTTCGTATTTTCTTCCTGGTCTTCTGTTTTGTTTTCTTTCTTCCCTTATTCCATTTCTCTTCTTCTCCTCGTCTTCCTCCCTCTTATTCTTCTTCTTCTATTCCAATTCTTCCATATTATCAGCTATTAAATTTTTCATTTTTATTTATTTTACAAACTATTTTATTATTTATTTTACAAATTATTTGATATTTTTTTTACAAACTTTTTATTATATTTTACAAACCATTATTTATTTTTTACATATTTTATTATTTTTTTTTACAAACTATTTGTTATTTCTTTAAAAATTTTTATTATTTTTACAACTATTTTATTATTATTTAAAATTTTATTATTCATTTAAAAAACTATTTTTTATACAGTATGAAGGATTTATTTGTTTACATGTCCAGCAAATATTATTCAGTAAAAATCATCATTATTTCTTAATATTTCTCAATGGAAGTGGAATTAAATTACGATTTGACAAAACATTATTTTTTTTACACTGAATATTTAGGGAAAAAATGCAAACTTGTTTAAATATCATTAAGTAATTTGGTAATAAAGTTATCAAAAGATCACGACATTATATTTAGCAATTCATTCTTATTAGTAATACTTTTCCACTTGTAAATAATTTAAGGGTAAAAGGAAAATAAAAATGTATTTTTTAAGATAAATTTAAGGATATAAGGAAAATGAGTATGTATTTTTTAAGATAAATTTTGAAGATATATTTTTAAAGATAAATCTATATAAGGAAAATAAAGATTTATTTTTTGAAGATAGATTTAAGGGTATAAGACAAATGAATATGTATTTTTGAAGTTAAATTTAAGGGTATAAGATAAATAAAAATCTATTTTTGAAGATAAATTTTCCACTTGTAATCCAATGAAGTGTTTAGATATGTAAAAAAAATTATGTATTTTACCACTTCATGCAGCCACTTTGGACCCCCCGTACGATGTTTAAGGTAACAAAGTGCTAAGTGTATGTTTAGGTCACTATTGTATGCTGTATTATCATATGCTGTATCCAAGGAACTATTTTTTTTTTCTTTTTTTTTTTTGTTTTTTACTTTAGGATTCTACAACGATAATGTCTATAGTCTTTCTCTTATTCCATATATTTGTGTTGTTAGTAGGCTACTAAGATAGTTCTATAATGACTATCAAAATTCAGGACATACTCTTTAAAAAATTAAAAGAGAAAGAGAGAGAGAGAGAGAGAGAGAGAGAGAGAGAGAGAGAGAGAGAGAGAGAGAGAGAGAGAGAGAGAGAGAGAGAGAGAGAGGAGAGAGGGAGAGAGGGAGAGAGAGAGAGATGAGAGAGAGGAGAGAGAGAGAGGAGAGAGAGAGAGAGAGAGAGAGAGAGAGGAGAGAGAGAGAGAGAGGAGAAGAGAGAGAGAGAGAGAGAGAGAGAGAGAGAGAGAGAGAGAGAGAGAGAGAGAGAGAGAGAGAGAGAGAGAGAGAGAGAGACAGGGAGAGAGAGAGAGAGAGAGGAGAGAGAGAAGAGAGAGAGAGAGAGAGAGAGAGAGAGAGAGAGAGAGAGAGAGAGAGAGAGAGAGAGAGAGAGAGAGAGAGAGAGAGAGAGAGAGAGAGAGAGAGAGAGAGAGAGAGAGAGAGAGAGAAGAGAGAGAGAGAGAGAGGAAAAAACTGAAC